GCGAGAAACTGTTAACTGTACTTGCAAAGCATTTTGCGACTTGGGCATATTTGGAGGAGACATGATGTGAATTTGATTCATAGAAAAAGAGAAGTGTTCCAGAGATACTCACTGTAAGCTTGGATACACCCATGACTACAACCCCAATTTTTACTTTAAAATGTCTTCTCTTGAACGTTCGACAGCAGTTTCAGACTTTCTTGTATCAACTTTTTTTGTCTATTAACCCAAATGAAACAAGTTGGAGCTTCATTTCATAAGAACTCTGGTCACACCAGGTCGCTTAATTCGATGAGTATCGGTAAATCTTTCTCTAATACTATGAATAGGCCTTACGATGCTATCAAATTTCACTCTGCCTCACTTCTCAAAAAAGTATTTTCATCACGGTTGAACCGAATTATCGTTTCTACCTGACTCAACACTCCCAGTGGAAATCGGACTCGGGTAGTTCAGCGTACATTTTTTACATGTTACTGCAATACCACACGGCTACGGGTGCCAGTGAGAGTGCGGTTAAGGCAAACATGTATTTGCCATTACAGTCGACAATATTACTTGATTTCGTAATGAGTAGAACAGAATCTTAGTCACTCTAGATGACTTAAAATGATGAAGACTGATACTAAATTTTCCAACAATATTATGATTACGCCTCACTATGCCGATGAATTTCCCAATCTTTCCTTCCCATAAGACTTCGCTCTGATCTACTCGCCCCCATGACAACGTGACGTAGTGACAACATGTTGAAAAGATACGCGTTACTACCCTGGTTCGATTTCCGTCAGGAGTGCAGCGTGACCCAGGCAATGTAGAAAGTGCAGAATATCTTTTGGGATGTCAGGCCAAAATTCAACGACATCGTGAGGCCTATTCATATTAATGTGGAGAATTAACTATCATTTTCACCTTAGCGACCTAAGGTGACTCAAGTTCTTATTCAGCATTCATTAATAGTCTTGAAAACCTATTTATTACAAATATCGGGACACATTTTCTCGAATGTATTCATACCAAGTGGGAGACCAAATGAATCCTCAATTGGCTAGCCCAAACACTCTCTCAATATTTGGTATAGCCCAAGTGAAATAGTTGAAGGAAAGATGAAATTAGGATAAGGTGGGAGCAACAACCACGAGATGCGCTGGCAGGGCCTGATGCGCTTTTACTTGTGAAAGCGGAGAGTTTCAGAGCGACTGCTTGCAGTACTTTCAAGGCGTGCTCTTGCAAACGCGCAGATATCTTAATTTATTTTTGTCTACTATTTGCTAGCTGAAATACTCTCTCGATATTTTTCTTGAAAAATAATGCTTCATTTCGTTTAAACGAAATGAAAGGTACTCCAACATTTGATGAACATTTTCACGGGCCAAAACCATTATTTACAAACAAGCACACAAAAAATATCTATCAAGAAATGTGCTAATGTTTATGCCGTCACTTGACCAACTGTAAACGAAAAATATAAGAAGCAGCATAAGGTTAAAAGTGACAATAGGACAGCTCTTCATCTAGCCAAAACTGTACCAAGATGAAATTTATTATTCACTATATGCATCCTGAAAATAAGCAAAGTCTATTGAATTACTATCTTGGGCTGTATAAAAATAGATAAAAGCATCAAAAACAGTAATCGGATCGAGATATTTTGATTAGGCGATCACTAGCCAAGCCGGTGGATGATCAGTCCTGCAAAGTCACATTCTTATTGGTCAGCCATTGCTGACCTATCAGCAGCCGGAGACTAAGTCTTCACAGGTCGCCTCAGTTCGTATGCAGGTTCATGTGTGTGTGTGTGTGAGTGTGTGTGTGTGTATGTGTTCATTGTATGAGTGCTCTAAGACGCTCCTTGTGGTACCTCTTCTCACTTTTTAGTGTCAGCGTAAATATTCACATTCGGATGCATGACTTGCGCCGCCAGACCAAGTGAGGCTGTTAAGGCTGAGATCCGACAGCCGCAAAGTGGATGCTCGATTGAGTCCGTTTTGCGGGTGTGTCGATGCCACTGGAGCCCATGAGCCCGCTTGGCAGCAGGCTGGTCACCAGAATGAGCCGACCGCACACCTACAGCCAGGCAGCTCCGGTCTCGGATGGATGGACGGGTGCAAGTGGACTCGACGGCGGCCTGAACGGGTTGTTGGCATTTTGCCCACCCGATCCGGGACTCGCAATTCCCTGGGCCCTGGAACAGATGACCACGCATGAAGAGAGTCCCGGCTGGTTCTCGCCGCTCACCCTCTCCCAGGCGCCCACTCGGCCGTCGGTAGCGTCGGCGGCGTCCGGCACTTGTGCCATCGCCCCGGCAACCGCCCTCGATCGTCATGTAGACCAGACGCTGGCCAACGTGAGTTCGAGTCCCGTCGACAGCTTGAGTCAACCGTATGCCCAGTTCTGGAGACTGCTGGCACCGCTGTTTCTCTGGCCGGTCAACAACACGAAAGCCGATCCAAGGACACGCGGCCAGAACGACGAGATGAGTCGTGATGAGGAGCCGAGTTCGGCGGACAAAACGGTCAATCTGGCGCCAAACACGCTCGAATTCAACAATGCCGCCTCTTTTTGTTCACCTGCCAACGACTCATCTTCGACGGCTGCACTGTTTTCGTCCACAGCTCACGTGGCAACGTCCGAAGCCAGCGTTGAATGCGGCTACGGCGCCAATCACGTCGGCCCCTGTCCGCCAGTTCAGTCGGTACAGACGGTCTTTCGGAATTGCAGGCCGACCGAGGACCCGTTCAATGTTGTCCTGACAGCCAACGGCAAAAACGCCAACTTTCCTCTGCCCTCGAGCTCGATTGGGGCCACATGCAATGGCTTTTTGTGCTCGAGGCGATCAGGTGAGCTCTTCCATTACGTGTCCACCAGTTGAAGAGATCCAGCCGTCAGGTTCGCATTGGAATTGAGTAGATTAGTGGAGTAAAAGCATTGTCGGCCTACGTCGCTGATGAAAATTAAATAATGCTGGTGGAGTCGCATCTTATGCAACTAAGGCGGAATGTAGTTTTTAGGCCAAATCTACTGCCAATATATAGAGCCTACTCATTGTGAATATAAGTAGTATGGTTGATTGAAAAATTGCATATGCAAGTTTGCTTAATCGACACGTCTTGAAATGCACGTATGCTCCGTTACCCACTGCCTACCGTGGCAATCTGGCGTAGGGGTAACATGTCGACAGTAAGAGATAGCTATCTTTGATGCATGCGGACCTGGAGACTATCATTACTTCTGGAGATGATTCAAGAATTTCTGCCAGCATCGAAAGCCGACTCGCTGAGAATATGAGTAATTTAGCATATTATTTGAGGTAATTATAGGTCTGAAAGCTGGATTTCTTTATAATCAGATGAATAGCTCAGCCGCTGAAAAAGATTATCTCAACCTGGCTGGAGTGGACTACAGTTTCGACCTCGCCTCGGTTCTATCTGCACCTCCGGCAGGAATTGATATTGGATTTAATTGAAGTTGCGAATGCTGATGAGACACAGAAATGGCGGAGGCTTAAGCTGAAGTCCAGTTCAGTTCAGAGGAGACTGTCTTTTAGGAGGTAGGTCTAAATGAAATTCACACGACACTGCAAATCCTTCTCATATCACCTCGGAGAAATTCAACTACCAGCAGCCCATGCGACCTCAATCGTATGGATAGGTCTCGCGATACCGTTGAAGTCCTTTCGACCGAATGTCATCCAGTTCCAAATGGATAGGAGGTCTGATCGTGTGTTTCTTGGCCATATTTGAGAATTCCGTTGCGCAGATACGTCATCATCAGCACATTATAGGAAAAGGCAAAAATGTATTTGTCATCGCAATTGATGATGCTACTTTTTTTAACTTTTATGCATTAAGTACCGATGTTTTAGAAACATACTTACACCGAATATGAGTAATGTCTTCAATAGTAATAACAAACACATGTTCATGGCTTGTATTTAGCTTATTTCGTTTACAGTGATAAAGGGACTAGTAGCAGAATTTTCCCACAATGATATAAATAGAATATATGAAGACCAAGATGTTGTGGCCTTTGTTATGGTCGCGGTCTCTTTTCGATTTAATGAAGTGGGTTGACCTCGTTGCCGCAACTTGGTCTTGTTGTCAGGGCGACTATGTAAAACGCACTTAGTCCGAAGTCGTCTGTCATAGTAGTCGTCATGATTCCCAGCATCTGACAGTGGACTTGATACATTCTCAGAGGTTTCGCCGGCATCGTAGTCGGCATCATCAGTGAGCTTTGCCATTCTCCGCACCAAGATACAAATTCGTCAAAAAGATATAAATAGACCCTACGTTTCCATTTATAATTAACATGCCTTGCTTTCCAAAGATCCATTCTCATCCAGACGGAAATGGACTGCCGTTTCGGCCTCGCTCAGGTTTCATCGACGCATTAACCACCAAGCCTTCCCTGAAATGTACATCCGCTCTGTGACCCAGGGGGTACTTGTGGCAATGTGGTCTAGCAACTAACATGTCGAGATTATATGCTGCACTGTCATGGCTCGAGTCCCACTGTGACTGCAGTCCACTAAAGTCTGGATGAAAATACTTTATGTAAAAGTAAGGCTATATGAAATTAAATGAAAACTAAAGGTCTACTCATCTGATTGTGAGAAAATGCCACTATCTGTTCCCTCGTTATCTTAAATGAAATAACGTGAATAAATGTCATACACAGAATCTAGTGGCAGTCTCGACAACCTATTTATAAATAAAACATTTTTATGTGTAAGTAGGGTTTCGAGACTACCAGTAAATCAGTGCAATGAGATGTATTCACCCAATTTCGTGTAAAATGATGAAGGACTGGTAATAGAATTTTCCCACAATGATATGAGTTAAGCTGACGTTTCCATTGAATTTCACATAG